GGACACACAGTGAGGAAAGTATCCAACTGCGTCACAAGGCAAAACCTCACTTGGAATCCTCAAGGCCAAAGAAGGAGAGGGAGACTAAAGAACAAATTACGCCGAGAAATGGAAACAGATATTAAAAGAATGAACAACACTTGCATAGGACTAGAAAAGAAGGTCCAGGACAGAGTAGGTTGGCGAATGCTGGTCGGCGGCCTATGCTCCATTGGGAGTAACAGGCGTAAGTAAGTAAGTAATGAAAAACTACATTAATCTCCTTCAAAGCATCCAACCTACATGAACATTTCTTACCTGATAACAATAATATATCGGAAATAATCAACCTAGTAAGAAATACGTTGCATGCTCAATTTGAATTATTGTTTGTTTGATCTTATTTGAGTACAGTTTTGAAAGTTAACTGAATGTTAATTTTTTTCTTTTCAGGAGTTTCATATTATTTTTCCTAATTATCAAATCGATGTTGAAATTATTCATTATTATGAAAGAAATATTACTGATAAACAGTGTTTGTGTATAATTGCCTTTTTCCTTATGAAATACTACAGAATGGGGATTAGTCACTTGATAAATAAATCTATGTTGATAGGAAACATAGAATGTTAAAGGATGAAGAAGTTTTGAAACATTAAAAGGAAAATATAACTAACTGAACATTTGAAAAAAGAACATTTTGTTATCTATACACGGAAGTAAGTTAGATGAGCTAATCTAGATTAATTTCGATGAAAAAATATGTATTCTAGTAGAGATGGCATATTTGTTACTGGTATTGATGATCTTTTCAATAATCCATAACATTTTTAGAAGTTAAAGAAGGGAAAATATATCGAATAAACATTGAAAATTATTATCAGAAGGGGTTTCGTGGAGATTTAGCATTTTCATAGTTGAAAGAGTGAGTCTAGCTTCAATTGACTCACGCTTTCAACTATGAAAATTATTATCTCACTATATTTACAGGTTATACTTGTCACAGGTTAGTAAGATATAGGGTAGCATTTCAAATAAGAGAGTATTGGACAGTTGTTTTGTTGTTATAAGGGACTCCTCAGAAGTGACTTCATCAAGGATCTAAGTATATTAATGGAATAGAGGGTTTATAGAAATTATCTATTTCCAAGTTATTTAAATTGCTGACCAAACTTTGATAGAGAAACATAACAAGATAGGAATATGTACAATTGGTTATAAAAGACAAGTAATTTAACTAAAATTTTGTAGATGGATGTAAATGAAACTATATTAACTCTTTAATAGTATTACTGAAATTAAAGCTTTCACGATAGCTACGCCGTAAAATATTTGAAAAATATAGATAGTTGATAATTAGTGAATAAATTTTCATCGGCATTAAATGGTAAGAGAACAGTAGGTAGCAATAATTCTCTTAGATTGCAAGGGAAAATATCCCATTAGAAGATTTACATAGTTGAAAGAGTACTGTAGAAATGGATTTAATTGATAGGTTGTATTCATTAAAGAATGATCTCAGTTGGTGCACGATTGAAACCAAGGAGCATTGGAAAACTTCATAGTAATATCCGAAGATAGAGGGTACATACTGTTGAGGAGTCTCATACTAAGGTAAATAAATTGTCTAATGCTCTTTGATTTTCAGTTGTACTCTAATTGAGATCAGTCTTTGATAGATACAATCAACACTGACACCTTCAAGTCTCAAAGTTACATGAATACATCTTAATCACTAGACACAGGAAATATTTCCAACTTTAGCTATTCCATTGACGAAAAACTGCTCTAATTATATTCAAAATTTGAATGTAGGGAGTTTACTTTTTATTTATTCACTAATGAACTAAACCACTTTACTTGTTTGAATCTAACCATTGATGTTTAGGACTGTAACTTGTCAGTCTCTTATTGGCATATGTGCATACTATGCGTATTGCCTCGATATAGCCTTATTTCACAAGCATTGTAAGCAAAGATGGACTCATTAGCTAAGTGGATAACGCGATGACGTTTGAAGCGAAAGGTAGTGCGTTCCAGTCCCAGAGTGAACATCAACTCTGAGATGCAGGTACATCCAGCTGATGAGTCCCAAATAGGACGAAACGCGCGTCGTGGATTCCACTGCTAGCCACTATCCATCTTTGCTTATAAACCACTTTGTGTTTTTGTAAGGATCTATATGAAGAAATTCTAAGAAAATGATACTCTGTTCGTTACAGTTAAATGTATAGCAATAGGCTATCCTTCAAATATTTAAACATCCTACAGAAAGGAAACTACTTTTCTTTTTAATGAATATGAATACATAAAATCTAATTTTAAAATCGTTAATTCATACGCGTAAAACTTGAAATTTTGCAGTATTATTCGAATTTTTTCATGTAAAATGGATATGATTGCACAGGTCAGTTGAAAAGTGTATTCTATTTGTGCGAACTAATAACTTAACTATCTAGTAGGTGTTATAAACAAACTACATGGAAATATGGAATCGTAAAAGAAAAGGAATATATTTAAATGGATGAGAAGGCAAAGAGTAGACATAAAAGATCGAGAGTACATTTGTAATGAGTTAACATGATAGAATGTCACTAAGTATAAACTATTATTTACTCTTGTCTGATGTTCATTTTTGTTGGATCAATAGTCAGTGAGACGGAAATTACTCTGAATATATTGAAAATAAAATGATGAAGTATTCACTTAGGTTCAATGTATTGTGATTATCTATAGTTTTATTTTTCAGGTTCTTGTTCAAGGTAAATAGCCTTCTTACTTATCAAGCCATACGCACTCTTTGTCTCATTCTCTTGAAAACAGTGAGGTTATATATATATATATATATATATATATATATATATATATATATATATATATATATATATATTAGAGACTGAATACTACATAATGACAGGTTATCTACATAGTATAGTTCACTGTAGTTTCATATTAAACTATTATTTGGGTAGTGACTAAGGCGATATATTTGAACCTAAAATGTAGTGCACTACATTTATCGTTAATATTCCTGTTGTTTTCGTCATATTGTATGACTTTTGTGGATATCAATTGGTAACCTACATTTGTGATCACTAGTTAGATTTTATCGCCAAATGACGTTTAGCCAACCGCTGACAAAACAAAAAGTTTGGAACTACTCAGTAATGGACATTTACTACCCGACAGGGAATCTAAATCAGAACTTTAATATCTCTCCGCAATCAAGTTATATTAAGCCACTGAGTCTCAACCCAGTGGTTCGTCAAAGTCAGTCTTCAATTTAACAAGATGTTCATCAGACAAATCAAAAGTGGGAAGGCGGCAGAACCTGACAATATACCAACTGAAGCACTGAAGTCGGACACTGAAGTAACTGCAAACATGCTTCACCTTCCATTCAAAAAGAGTTGTGAAGAGGAACAAGTGCCAACGGACTGGAAAGAAGGATACCTCATCAATATACCAAAGAAAGGAGATCTGAGCAAATGTGAAAATTCCAGAAGCATCAGTTTGTTATCAGTACCAGGAAAATTTTTCAACAGAGTATTGCTCAACCGGATGAAAGACTCAGTAGACGCTCAACTTCGAGATCAACGAGCTGGATTCATTAAGGATCAGTCGTGCACAGACCAGATTACGACACTACGGGTCATCGTTGAACAATCAATTAAAGGGAACTCATCACTATACATCAACTTCTTTGACTATGAGAAGGCGTTTGCCAGTGTAGACAGGAGAGCATTATAGAAACTTCTTCGACACTATGGAGTGCCCGAGAAGATTGTCAACATTATCCTGAACTCATACAATGGACTATAGTGCAAAGTGGTGCATGGAGGACAGCTGACAAATACATTTCAAATAAGGACCGGAGTCAGACAAGACTGTCTACTCTCTCCATTCCTCTTTCTTCTAGTGATTGCCTGGATTATGAAGGCTTCGACATCTGAGGGAGGCACGGAATACAATGGACATCTCAGAATCGTTTAGAGTATTTGGACTTCGCAGATGACCTAGCCCTCCTCTCTCATTCACACGAAAAAATGCAGACGAAGACAGCAAGTGTAGCAGCAACCTCTGCATCGATAAGCCTCAATATACACAAAGGAAGAAGCAAGATTCTCAAATACAACACGGAGAACACTAACCCAATCACACTTGATGGCGAAACTCTGGAAGAAGTGGAAACATTCACGTACCTAAGAAGCATCATTGAGGAACAAGGAGGATCTGATGCAGATGTAAATGCGAGGATTGACAAAACAAGGACCTCGTTTCTACAATTGCAGAACATATGGAACTCAAAACAACTGTCAACTAATTTCAAAGTGAGAATCTTCAATAAGGACGTCAAGACAGTTCTACCGTACGGTGAAACGTGAAGAACTACTACAATCACCATCAAGAAGACACAAGTATTTATAAACAGTTGTCTACGCAAAATACTCAACATCAATTGGCTGGATACTATCAGCAACAGTGTTTTATGGGAGAGGACAATCCAGCTTCCAGCTGAAGAGGAAATTAAGAAAAGACGTTGGAAGTGGATCGGACATACATTAAGGAAATCACCAATGTGCATCACGACTCAATCCCTAACTTAGAATCCGGAAGGGAAGCGGAAAAGAGGAAGGCCAAAGAACACATTACGTCGGGAAATAGAAGCAGATATGAAAAGGATGAATGTTAACTGGAAAGAACTGGAAAGGTTTGCCCAGGACAGGGTTGGATGGAGAATGCTGGTGGGCGGCCCATGCTCCTTCATGAGGTGTAACAGGCGTAAGTAAGTAAGTTATCCGAAACCATCAGTGATACCTGCATTGCTCAGGGAATACCTTAACTCCACTAATTACCGTTTATCATCAGGACTTTGTCATTGCATAAAGTAAAGCAGTCTGTAACAAAAAGCTATCTTCTAATCAACAATTTTTCGAATAATCTTATTTCGATGCTTAATAATTTATTACAATCAATTTAATGGTCAATAACGTCATAGTTTATTAGAATAGTTGACTTACTCAAATCTGATTCATCATTGTTATTTATATGATCAGGACTGAGGGTCGTCACGTAGGAGCATAGCGCTTCTGCATCTATATCAGCTTTAGTAACCAATAAACCTTTACGTTCATCTACACTAAACAATGTTGAAGGTGAACCCAATTTATAGTTTATCGCGATGATTTGTCCAAATTCATTTGAAGATGAATGTGTTATTGATGAAGACATGGAGTTTGGTAGCACAATTGCATTTATTGTACCAATTTCTGTACCGATTTGACAATTTTCATCAATACTAAACTCTGTTGAATACACTTGAAGCCTTGGTATTCGTCCATATATACTTGATGATATAATTGTGAAATGTATAAAAAGGTGAAGCAGAAATAATTGTTTCATGTAATAGATAACATTTTTACTCTGAACAATTGCCTTCATGTCCCAGAATCAAATGGAATTTCGTTCACTAAGTGAATATTGATTTTTCGTGGAAGATTGTTTAAAGTGGTTAATAAAGATAGTTGTAAAAGAGAAAAAAAAGGTAAAGTCTATTAAATTTTAATATTTTTCAAAGAAGTAAATGTATAATTATGTGGATTGTAGATATACAAACGCCTTGCTTCTTGATTTTTGTTCTTTGAAAGTATACTTGACTTTTTCAACTTCTATGATATTACCCTAGTCAAATTTGATTCTAGGCAATGTAGAGAAAGAACTCTAGATGATCTAGTGACTCATAAAGATAGATTAAACATTCCTACCACCCCAAAATATATGACCTACAGTTCTGCACTGTCCCCCTTGTATATGACAATCCGTTTCCACCTTGTTTGCGTACCTATTGACCAATCAAAATGAGAGAAATTAATAGATAGATTATACAAACTATTTTATGAATTGTCCCTCATTATCACATTTTGTCATGAACTTGTAAACCAACTTCTGTGTAATTATTCCATTTCTGTCTGGTAGGTTAGAAAAGAATGAGATATACGAGGCCTTAGTTTTTAATGAAACATGTTGACTGAAGCTTTATGACGCATAGGTTCATATAATCAAATAAGCATAAACAAACAAATATTGGTATGTTGTTTGGTCAGATAACACACACTCATATTACAGTTAAATGCTATGATAACATTGTCTAGGTAAGTCTTATTGTGTTTATTCGATGTAATTCTCAACAGATAATTTGGTAATGAAATTGTAGATGTACAGTTTGAAGGTACTTTGTTAGAACCTTAAACATAAATGACACCATTAGTAATTAGGTGTATTAGGAAGTAAATTTTCGTCAAGAGCTTCATATTGTTATTACTGGTGCACAGATAAAACATTTGCAATGTTTCATAACGCTTTTAAGCTTCTGGGAATAATCCTTGATCTATGCAATGAATACACCTTTAAAACTTTCTTTTCAAGTGTTTTCATCAAGGCTTTTACGGTGTAAAAATATTAGTTGGGTATCAAGTATACAAAAGTCGTTAGGAATAAAATTATATATATCGAAAATAAATAACTATAAAGTTTCTCTGGACAGTTCAGTTTATCGCTTTCCCTGAAGAACACGTATTTCATTTTAACTGCTGAGATTTTTAAGTATATAATTCCGACAAATATACAAAACGAATTAATTATATACGACCTTTGTGGAAATTCTTTGATTTTTAGTTTATATTACAGGCTGAATTTACCCAGGGAGTACTAAGCAATTGTTTCGTTTTAGTTTGGGACGTCTTAGGGGTTATCGTCTATGACTGTCAAGGATGCAAACTGAGACATTTTGGCCTTGTCATGAGTTTAGTACCTTTAGATAACTGAGTTAGGTTCATTAATTTATATTTTAAACGTCAGTCAGTTAGCAATATTGTGCAACTATGTTCATTGGAATTCATGAATACGCACTGCGAAGGAGTCTCTTACTAGGACTAGGTAGATGTTCAGTCCCATATATTTTTCAATTATAGTCTAATTAGAATCAGCTTATTATGTAAAGTCTAAATAAAACTGATTGATTATTCAAGCAAAAATGAATTGTAAGATAATGGTATTTTTTGCAAATTGACACCACTGTCTCAATCAAAATTGACTTAGTTTTTTAGGAATTTCTGAATGTTATAAACATTTTTCTGAATCACTGTCATTTTTGTCGTAAATGTATGTAGTCCTAGTGTAGCTACAGATCACTAAATCAACACATTGAATCAGTCCGTGAAGTCATTTGCTATTGAACTGAAACACTTTCGAAAGTTAGGATTCGTGCAATAATCATGATTGCTGGTTGAAAGCCTTATGATAAGTTTGGGAACTTAGTTTAGTGTACACTTATGCTATTTGGCACATCGTTTGTGACCCCTTTCTGATAATGATCATATACTCACTAGTGACTGACTTCAAGAGATATTTCCTGGAGTTCTAGTTAGAAGCAGTGGTCAGTGGATTTCAACCAGGTTTGTTGTGAGATAGTAACTCACCGAAGAAAATGGTAGACAGGTGGCTCATTTTCATGGATTGCTTGAAGTTAGAAATTAACACCGTTGGATGCTGGTTCAGCGGTCTAGTAGTTAAGCGCTCGCGCGCGAGACTGATATGTCGTATGTTCGAATCTCGCGAGGCGGGATTGTGCATGCGCACTGCTGAGGACTCCCATAATAAGACGAAACGGTTATGCAATGCTTCCAGGTTTTCCATGGTGGTCTAGCTTCAACTGACTCATGATTTCAACTACATATAATCGTTACAACTAATTTGTTCGTAGATCTACAACCGAAGATTTTCATTAGTAGAGCGCCTATAATTGAAAGCGATATCAGTAGTTAAAAAATAAATTGTACTAAAATTGACAAAAATAGTTTTTGGTTATACTTGAATGAATCTGTGATCTGTTGAGTTATTCATGTTGTCAGTGAGATGAATATTAATTGAAAAAAGTGAATAATGATGATATTGATTTCCGGAATAAAGGAAGATGAAAAATTTGGTCTTATAAATCTTGGTACCAGAAGGGGGGTTTTGTGGAGGTTTTCAGTAATTTTATAGTTGAAATCATGAGTCAATTGAAGCTAGAACACCATGGAAAACCTAGAAGCACTGGACGGCCGTTTCGTCCTATTATGGGACTCCTCCGCAGTGCTCATCCACGATCTCACCTCGCGAGATTCGAATAAAGGACCAATCGGTCTCGCACGCGTGTGCTTAACCTCTAGACCACTCAAGCGGCATCCAATGGTGTCAATATCTAACTTCAATCAATCCGCGAAATTGAGCCTCACATCCATCTTCAATGAGTTACTATCTCACATTCGATTTTCCATGGTGGTCCAGCTTCAATTGACTCATGATTTCAACTATAAAATTATTAAAATCTCCACCTAACCCCCTTCTGATAATAATCATATTCTCACTGAAGACTGACTTCAAGAGGCATATCCTGAAGTTCTAGTGAGAAGCAATGACCAGTGGATTTCAACTGGGTGTGTTGTGAGATAGTAACTCACTGAAGACAATAGTGGACTAGTGACTCAATTTCGTGGATTGGTTGGAGTTAGACATTAACACAGTTGGATACCGGTTCAGTGGTCTAGAGGTTAAGCGTTCGTGCGCGAGACCTATGTTTCCCGGGTTCAAATCTCGCGAGGCGAGATCATGAATGCGCACTGCAGAAGAGTCCCATAATTGGACGAAACGGCCGTCCAGACCTTCCAGGTTTTCTATGACAGTTTGCCTTCAATTGACCCGTGATTTCAACTATAAAATCATGGTACATTTGTTAAGTTTTATCATAATCATTATCAAATTTGAATGTCCTGAATTCTTTTCCGTTTGGAATCATAAAAATTATCGAAAAATTTTAAATCATAGCAAAATCAACTATTTAGCGATTAACTGGGTTTTAGTCGTCTGCCAGCCGATGTCAGTCATTTCTGAAAAACCTCTTCAAATGACAACGTGGTTAAATATATCATTGACTTTAAAAATCTTGTTGCATATATTTAACCACGATCCAAATGTTCATTTACGTTTTCCTAATATCTGATTTATAATAATCATGCTTATTATATCACATAAGTGATTAAAATATTTTGTTGGAAATTCTGTATTCTTCCAAGATATAAATATGATTATTATTTACTTAGTATTGTTTGTTTGGATCTTCCCATTGATGTTTTTAGGACTGCAACTGGTCATCAACATCAACTCTGAGATGCAGGTACATCCAGCTGACGAGTCCCAAATAGGACGAAACGCGCGTCGTGAATTCCACTGCTAGCCACTATCCATCTTTGCTTACTATTATTATTATTTCCTATAGAAAGAATTACTAATAAAATTAAAGGTGATTCGTAAAATAGGTTTCCTAGGATGAATCTATGAAATATTTTGACATAACTGTTAAATTGCTTAGGTGTAATGTTTTTTAAAAATCTTTAGTCTCTAAACAGGAAAACATTTTTAAGGTATCATCAATGTCAACCACCAGCCTTTAGAATATTTTACTAATTTTCCATAGTCTTTCTAGTTAATGAATTTCTATTTTTCTAAGATTCCTTGTAAGCATTGTATGTATATCTACTCATGGTATAAGAACAGACAATTTACTTAGTTAATAGTCATCATGAATAAAGGGATAGTAAATGAAATAAATGTGTAATAATTATACACAGGTATGAACTTTCTGCGTTGATTAGATCACGTGTGTCGTAACAATATCAAAAACACTGATATTAACGTAATCTTCACTAAAACTGGAACTTAACTGTAGAATACGTTGGTAAGACATAGATTTTCAATTATTAATGATGGAATGAGTAAAAATGCTGATTTTATAGGACACGATTTGTAAATACTTATTTGAAACTGTTATTAGAATATGTACTGATTACTTACGGAGTCATATTTAAACACGAGTACAATTTGTATATTTCACATAAATGATTTAATGGTGTTTGCTATCTAGCTTCAAATTTTGTTTAATGTCAGGGAAATGTATGGGTCAAACAGATTTGCATTGTATTTCCTGTCATAACATGAAATGAGTTTGTTTTAAAGTGGTGTTTACCATAAGGACCAATGATTTTGTCCTAATTATATGTGATTTAATATCGGCTACTAGTTTGTAATATTTTAACATTAGGCGAACGATAAACTTTTTCACGAATCTTCTTAGGACGAATATAGATAAATTTAATTGTAACACAATGTGAGAACGGTTAAAATGGTAGCGCTTGAGAGAAATTTGTAGGAACATTTCTCATTGACGTTCACTTTTTTCCAAAGATTTATTGAATCCCTTGGTTCTGAATTCAAGCCTTACAAGCCGGATGCTATCATATAACGGTGCAAACTTCAGCTTTATGTCAAGTGTTTTATGAATCAAACTCACCTAGATTTCCTACTTGGTAACAGTACATTTCTGTTAAGATTTGCCAAAGCAAATCATTTATGAATATTTCATAACTTTGGATC